ATATTATATAGATGAAATATTGATTTTTTAATTTTGGGCTGGAAAAGTCTTGTACATGGGGGCGTCTTATTGTTGGAAAAATACGGTATATTTTAGTGTCTGTAAAATGGTTCAGTAGCAGCCTGTCTTTTTTTGAAATGAATACTTTTTTTTCTTAATTTTGGTTTAAACATTTATGTGAAAAGTTCCTATGCAGCTTTTAGTGACCTGGAAGTCTTTCTACATGGTCTTGGACTTGAACATATAACAGAATTACTGAAGGTAAGATTTCTTTATCGAAAACATACAGACCATTCAGGGTGGGGGTAATTGATTTATGTCATTGTATAATAACAACATTATGGGTTGCGTAATTTGTGTGTGGATTTGCATCATTTGTAATATTTACATAATTATATTGATATGAATTGTATCATTTACATAATGTCATTATGTACATGGTATAAATAATTGTGAATAAGGTATCTGGATGGAAATTTGTCTGTTGCATGTAGTCTGCTAAATGTGGGTCCACTAAATTGAGTTTTCATTGTAATATGTTACTGTATGACTCAGAATGTCACTGCTTAGATTTAATCCACAAGTTTAAGCATTCATGTTGGTTAACTGTTCATAGTATTCTGGGTGATACAAATTTAAAATATCTTCTCAGTTTGTTTTTCTGTATATGCTGTGAAATTTAATACAGGTAGTCCTCAGCCTACGACAGTTGTGACTGGAATTTCCATCACTAAGCGATGCAGTCATAAAGCACGACTGCATCACTTACCTATGGCAGTCTCTGCTGCCTGGTTGCTGTTGTTAACTGAATCCCAGTCATTAGGTGAGGTAACTTCTTGCTGGCTTCCCACAACCTAAGTCAGTGGGGAAGCCAGCAGGAAGTTACAAGTCCCAGGTCGGCAGGCAGGTAAGTAACTGCTGCCCAGGGGAGGGGTGCAGGGAAAGTATGTGGCAAGAGGTGCCACGCGGGACAAGGAGGGCATGCGGGGGTGCTGGTTGGAGAGCGTGCATGTGGATGCACAAAAGGTGCTGTGCAGGTCGGGAAGGCCACATACGTGCAGGCTGGGAAGGGTGCGCTGGTGTGTGCGAGTAGCCAACACGAGCTCAGAGGGTGCGGGTGGGGGAGACTTACCCAGTGACTTGTGACCTTTCCTGCTGACTTTCTCATTGACTTTCTGGGGAAGCCAGCAGGAAAGGTTGCAAATTGCGATCACGTGATCGTGGGGTGCTTCGCATTTGGTTGTAAGTGTGAATGGTCACTGAACAAATGGTCATAAGTTGGGGGCTACCTGTACTGTTGGGTTATTGACCTAAGTAATAGAATCTTGGGACAAAGTATCTCTGGGAAAATGCTTTCATCTCTTATAGGAGAGAGAAATACCTTTAAGACAACTTATGACAATGGGAAAAGAAGACTTTATACAGGTTAGGCAATTTATTTTTTGTATATTTGCTTTTCTGAAATAACAATACTGCTGTTTTTAAATTTTAATTCTGTTGAATTTAATTTTTCACTTCATAGTAACACTTTTCAATACTGATTTGCATTTTGATTTGAGAAAAGTAGCATATCCTGTTTACCTGATTTGAATGTCTAATTGTTCCTTTTTTACAAATTAGGCTGGATATGTGCTTTAACAGAAAGTGGTATTAGTATACAGGGAGTGTGTTGATATGTTCATTTGTAGCTATATTAGTACAAGATGTTTTGCAGTTTGCAGTTGAAAAGGTTGATAATAATGTGAGTGAAATGGAGAATGTTCATTAAGTATTTGTGTATATACATTGGTATCTCTAGTTACGAATGCCCCTCCTTACGAATTTTTCGAGATACGACCAGCTCCGGCCCCAAAAATTTACCTCGACATGTGAACTCCGCCTCGAGCTATGAACCGGATCCGCAGCCATTTGCCCTGCTGCCACACGGTCGCGGCTTCCTGTGGGGGAGATCGTGGTACCAAGGAGATGTTCGGTGAGGCTTGTGGTGTGTTTTGTGGAGTTTTGGAAGGTGCTTGGTGTGCTTGTCAGCATGGCTCCAAAGAAAATGCAGAGCAGGCTT